AAAAAGAAAAAGAAAATTTAAAAACAAAAAAAAAAATAAAAAAATACATATAGACCGGGTCAACCGGGTTGACCCAGCCGGGTCATTGTCCCGGGTCGACCGGGTCAAGGTCGGGTCGACCGGGTTTTGACCGGGTTTGACCGGGTCCGTTGTTGCCCGGTCTAATTAACCCACCCGGACCGGTTCCGGCTCCGGGTCGACCGGGTCCCGGGTCGACCCGCCGGGCCGGTCCGGGTCACAAAACACTGGTATGTATTATATTTTATCGATTTTGCTATGGAGCCAACAGTTGGCTCCATAGTAGAGTCAACCTTTTATATACAACAAATAAACCTATCATATCAATAGAATTACTTAAATAACATTAATATAATTCTATTGATATGGTAGGTTTATTTGTCGTATATAGAAGGTTGGCTCCACTATGGAACCAACTGTTGCCTTCATAGCAAAATTGTATATTTTATTATTATTATTTTGTTGTTATGAGAATGCAAATGAGTATTGGACTTGATTTTGCCAGAATTTACTTTGGAAACTACGAGATGAAGTGTTTGTAAATTTATCAAACTATTTCTCAGTGTAAGTTAAAGTAATGGTTTTTAATTTATGGTTAATCAAAGGAGTCGTTTTTTTTATTAATTTGAAAGTTCATATGAGTTGAAGTTTGTATGTTTATGAGAAATGGGTTTGTGTATGCAGATATTTGAGTGGATTTATACATACTAATCTTTTTTTTTCAAGGCAAACAAACAAATATTATAACTCAAACCAAATAGCAAATACATCGAGTAATCAACTGATTACTAGTCCCTGGCACCCATAAACTGGTAGCACAGCAATACAAGAAAGAAAAACCCTTTCCCTAAGCAGACCAACATGGTCATCAACAAAGAACAAATCCTAATATTAAAATACATCAAATCCACAAACATTACAATCAGAAAAAAGAGAATGGATCTGATTTACAAGCATTTCAAATCTGCCAGTGGCAGGATCCACATTCTTCGACAACTTGATTACTGAGGCATTATTGATGAAACAATAGCAAGAGGACCACTTGATGTTAGCTTTCTTGAATTTCAGCAATCCCCAATGAGATGCTATTAAGGCTGCCTCAGTCACATCTATAGTTCCCACTTTGTTTTCTTCCCAATGTAGCATATGATCCTCAACAATTTTTACTACACACTCCATAGCTATATCTCCATTCCTAGATAAATGAGCACTGATGGCCATCCATGGCCTACCTACTCTCTCTGAAAGTTTATCTGT